AGTGTATGTAGGTCTTCTGATTCTAAGCCCTGTACTCTTTCCATTTGGCTGTAACTGCCTCCAGACCAGTACTCTGTTGCATTTAAAGCCATTCGAAGAAAGCATTATCTAAATGTGTATACAAATATATGAATTTTATATATAGAGATTTTTATACATAGATTTATAGAAAGACAGACATAGATAACATTATACCTTAGACTGTCATGTATACCACTCCTTTAGGATTTCCAGTATTGTTTCAGATATTACCAAGTCAAAGTCTCATACCATTATAAGGTATCCAGCAGATATAGCAGTGATGTACCTCTAGCATAATAGTTTTTGTTAGCCTAAACTGTCCTTATGGGATAAATACTAGTTGAATGGAGAGGTGAACAAAGAAAACAGCAGAACTGGTTTGGTGGCTCCATGCTCCCTTGGCTTTTCCCAGAGCTCTGGACTCCTATGACTTGAATTAAGACCATGGGAATTCCCAGTGAATTTCCTAATTCCTCTTTGCACTGGAGCAACAAAGTAGTTTATTTTGAATGGATGCAGTGCTTCCTGTGGATAGTCAGAAGTTACCTATCTTTAGTCCTAGGTTGAACCTTCTCCTTTTTTGCTTCAGTCCATGAAGTTTCAGCCTCCGCCCAGGACCCCTCATGTTTGGGATCAGAAAATAGAGTGGTAGCATAAGCAAGCAGATAATAGCCCTAACTGGGTTCAGTACCTTGAAGTGCAGAGCAGAAAGTGGGAGAGCAAGGGTTATGAGCTGTGGTAGTGGTAGTAGTTAGTAGTTACACCCTTCTGATCACCCTGGAGAAAAGAGAGATGAATTTTTTAAAGCATTTGCTAATTTCTTAAAATAATTTTGTGGTATCGTTAGTAGGAACATCTTTCTTTACAGGAGCAAAAGAATAGTTCCTACAACTAATAGGTGAATTTGGCAAAGTCTCAGGATACAAAATCAATACACAGAAATTATTTGCATTTATATATAATTAGCAAAAAAATAATTGGAATTGGAATGACACTATGGACTAGTTACGGTTTTAGTTTAGTAGTGATTACAGATAATTCTATTTTATAAATTAAAACTGAGGTGTTATCAGGCAAAACGTAGAGGAAATAGTTTTCTCCTCAATTGACTATATAAAGGAAATAGTTGTCTTTCATACATGCAGACACACTTGAGTTTTTCTTTCCTTTCCTGTATAATCTAAGGATTGTGCTTTTTAGTAGTGGCTTGCTAATCCCTTTAAATAGCTCTTAGTGTAAGTATTCCGTAGTTTTCATTAACCATGAATTTCAGCTTTTGTTTTTTTTAAACCTCTACTGAAAAAACCATTCTTGGTTGTTGTTTCACTAGCATCCTTTTAGCCTGGTCGGTGAAGCAGCAAGCCTACTGCAAATCCTAAACGGCGTGGTGTAGAAGAGAGTCTAAGACTTTAATTATATGTCATTTTATTTACAACACTCACTTCCAGGAAGGAAAAAATGACTTTGTTGTTGTAAAAGACATATTATGTGAGTATCATTCATCGTAAACTAAAAATGATACTGTATTATAGCACAGACAACAATGGGAACTGATTTTGAAAATGTGACCTGTACGAGAAACTGAATAATAGTGAAAGTTATCAAAATGGAAAGAAGTGTTAATGTGAAATCCAGCCTTCTCAGAAATACTTTTTCCTGGCCTGTTTGGTTTTGCTTTTGTTGCTTGTCATGCATGAATGAAAGTGCTGCACTCTCAGGGGAGCAGGAAAGCCTCTGTGTCGGTTGTTTATTTCCTTAATCCCTCCTCCTTTGTGATTTTTGATGTCAGATCTAAAATGGAAAGCCTGTAAATATAATGATTATCACATGGATAATCACCTGCATTAGGAACCGCCCTGCTTCTCTATTCTAACCCTAGCTGTTCTCCACATGTCACATCCACTCTGCGGTTGGATTTTAACCTGACTGCTTCATTAGATTTGTGAAACTCAGTACGTGGCGCCCTGGGGCAGCACAGATGGGGACTTGCTTGTTTTCTTTTCTCACTTTTACTGCGAAGGCACGCTAAAAAGTCCTTTTCAATTTAGTGTGATCAGTTCACTTGGAATTACCCCTGGTATTTGGAACCTGCCGCACTATTCTGCCCACCATTTATGCCCCTTTTTCCTTTTCCTGATTTCTGACCTAATGCCTCTTCTGTCCCTCCATGCAGTGAATCTGAGGACTAAAATTCTGTTTAAAATTCTTACTGGGTCAAACTGTTCCCCCTGTGTTGTTTTATTTGTTTTGCTGTGAGGGAAAAATAAATGTTGTTCCATCATTGTATCTACAAACACCTTCAGATCAGAGGTTAGCTGTGGGAAAGTCTGCAGTGATGTGAGCCAGCTGCCTTCTCTAATGGAGTGACTGGGGGCACCAGCCCAAGATCAAAGGAAGGTGGGAGGAAGTCAGGAGATAAGATCTTTTTAAGCCACAGAACAAGTGCTTAGCTTTTCGGTGATAGGGCTCAGCTCTGTGAACCTGAGTGAGGGGACGCTAAGATAGAAAATTGAGTTGACTTCTTAGCATGTCCTTCTTCAGTCAGAAATATGTTGGTGGTTGGAAAAGTTTACAGATGTGGAAGTGTCCTAGGACTCAATTTCCTTAAAGAATAATAATCTGACATTTATATAAGTGCTTCCTTGCTATTAGTCAGTTCTACTGTACCATAACAGACCACAGTTCATTGCTTCTCACATTTGTGTGAGCAAAACTGGACATTAAAACGGTAATTTATTCTGTGTGCATTTTGAGTTTTTGTGTCTTGGTGCAATTTTAGTCACACAGATTCTTCACATTAACTTTGTCTTATAGTCCTCTAGGGTTCTTTTGTGCCTCTGCCGAAATTCCAGGTAAATACGTAGTTCTCAAAGAGCTTTTCAGTTGTCTTTTTCATAAAAGAAATAGCTGGAATTGGTTAGGTAGGGAAAATTCTGCACTGATATCTTTTGAACCTTATCCTTTTCCTTGAGAATCCAGACTAGCAAATATTGACTGTGTGGTATACAAGATTCTATTCTAAGTAAATTGTCAAAGAGGCTAACCTTGCTTGCACCAATTGTCAAGATCATAATTTATTTATTTTTTTTTATCTGCATCAACTAGGGTTAACTCGATCAGCCTTATGCTTCTCTGGTGAGCAGCCTAAAGAGTTGTGCTTTCAGCTTATCACGTTCTATTAATGTTAGTGTTCAGCCATAATTGTCTCTTTCGACCTTTTCAAACCCTCCAAGTGGTTGTTTAAATTTATATGGTATTAGTATATTGGACCATAAGTGCATGCATACTTCCCCCTCCCCCCCGTGTTTTCCTTAACATGTAGATAGTACCCAAATTTGTGCTGGAGACATTAACTGTACTTTCTGCCTTACATGGTTTGGTGCAGCAGTCGCTTTAGTTGAGTTGGATCTGCTCACTACTCAGGCTCAAATCCCATCCTTCTATTAATATCTCTTGGCAAAGATAATTTTGGAGGAATGTAAGTTAAGATGTAGAGGCTCTTGACAGTTGTCTGCAGTTTTTTTTTTTTCATTTTCAAGAGGGAAGTGGAGTTGAAAAGTAATATTGCCTCCATTTTCTGTATCAGTACTAAAATTAAATATATGCACAAAGTGAAGAAAGGGAAAGGATCTGGTTACACAGATGTGTTTTTGTCATTTGATAACCTATTATAAGGGCATTAGAGTATACAATAATGTTCATCAGATTATGCCCTTAAGGTACTTAATAATTAACTGTGTTTTTTAAATGTTTAACTTTCATTACCCTGTCGTCTTATATCAAAGAGAAATGAGGGAGGGGGTTGTACTGTTTATTACAAAAATTTTCAAACAGACAAAAAAGTAGAAATACTGAATACATCTAGATTTAGTAGTTGTTAATGTTTTACCATTTTTGCTTCACTTTATTATTTTTAAGTTTTCTAAAGTAAGTTATGTATATCATGCTATTGTATCCCAGTATACTTCAGGATATACCTCTAAAAATCAAGGACAGTTTCCTTATCAAATTGATAATTCCTAGTATTAATTCCCATTTCATATTCAGATTTCTCCCAAAATGTATATTATAGCTGGTTTGTTCAAAACAGTTTCCAATTAAGGTCTATACATGACTCTTGGTCACTTTTCCCCTCCCTGCTTTACCATGACATTGACTTACTGAAGAAGACATTATTGTATAATGTCCTACCTTATGGCTTTGTCCATTTGCTTTCTCAGTGTATCATTTAACTTGTTCTCCTATCCTATTTCCTTTAGACTGAACATTATTGAGTTAAAGTTTTGATAAATTTATGTTAAAAACTTTATAGGTGATGCTGTGTGCTTTATACTGCATCACAAAAGAAGGCACAATATATTTGGTGATGCCGTTATTAATGATAAGTGATAGGATCGATCGCTGGGTTAAAGTGATGACAGCTTGATCCTTCCATTATAAAGTTATACTTGCTCCCGTGACCAGCATGTAATCCGTGACACTTTGACTCCGTGAAATACCCAGTTCCCCATCATCCTTTCACCTAATGAATTTAGCATCCCTTGATGATCCTTGCCTGGATAAATTTCATTGCTGATTTTTCTGAATCTATACATTTACTAGCAAACATTTTCTCTACAGAAGCACTTTCTAAAAGGTATTGCTTTAATTAAAAACATAGCCATCAACATCTTCCTCTGGTTTCAAATGATTGTCTTTCTTTGCTGGGGTCAAAACACCTGAACTCACAGTGACAGCTACAGTAAAAATATGTACTACATCTTCTTTATTCCAACTTGTGAAGTGTGTTGACATTATGCTGCCTTTTTTTATGCTAAGGAAAAAAGAAATCTTTTTTTGGTGTAAGAATAAAAATTGAACTATGTGGGTATATTGAGATAATTGTGTAAAACGAGGACTGTTTGAATGAGTTTCAAAATGGATTATTTCTTCATTACCTAGCACTTTATAATTAACTGTTCTTTTTTTTTCTTCTTCAGGAAGCTGCCACTTTTGCTAGAGAGCAAGGCTTTGAGGTGAGTTAACCCACAATTGCACACTAAACAGATCCTAAAGGTTTTTTCTAGCTGATAATGAAGTTCTTTTGGACAGTGATTGATGTGCTATTATACTCTCAGAGCCTCGCAGCAGTTGCCATGGAAACTTGGCAGTCGTCATGGTTTCTTTGTTCTGCCAGCACAGTGTTATGACGCACTCTGCTAGGTCTGCACCCAACATCGCCTACAGATGTTATTTATTGAATTTTGAAAAGCCTCTTGGGAAGCCAAGAGGTTGGGCACGGTTTCAAGCTGCCTCTGCAGATATGGGGCCTGTCAGTTTGTTCAGTTAAAAAGCTACCTCATTAACTGCATTACATTTCAGAAGGATTCACCGCTAAAGCAGTGGTGGAACAAGACTAAATAGTGAAATATAATGTCGTTTAAATAATTCCAACCCTACCACATGTAGATTATCATTATGTAAATTAATTTCCAAAAAAGGTTGTACTTAACAGTTCTTAGGAACTGATTAATTTAAATCCTGCTCATACAAACTTCCTGTTTAAATTTCTATTTTTTCTTTTCTTTTTCTTCTCTTTTAATAGCATAAATCGTGTGTAAATTTTCTGAAACAAAATACTGATAATTGGCTTTAATTTCCATGTCCTGACTGTGTCTTCCTGATAGAAATATTATCCTGTCAAGATTCCAAATCCATGTGGTTGTTACTGGCAAAATTAAAACAATAGGCAAAACCATGGTTTTATCTATACAGTGTCTACCTTCCAATCGATTGTTAGGAAACACTGCCCTAAACCTAGCTTAATTGACAGAGAATTAACAGCATTTATTAGTTTTATGACTATCATATTTCTTTGGCCAGAGCTATGTAGAATACTGTGTTCTTTACAACAACTTGGAATGTTTCATGGTTGTAATTTTTTAAAATTTAATCTGACTAGAACTAGAATATATAGAAACTCTCTCCTTATTTGCATACTCAGTATTGTCTACCATCCACAGAAGCTATGAGCATTGATTGGATGTATTACTAAGCTTACTTTGAACTCTTGAGAGAAAGGTGTTGTATGAATTTGTGATGGAACTGTTATTTAAATGTACTAAAGGCAGATTCATTACCAACCAACAAAGTAATACATGTGTATGTTATCCATGTCATAGGACTTGAAAGCCAGACGTAGAACTTCCTTTTCTTGGAGGAAGACAGGGAGCATGTGGTATAAGTATTCTACTTTCAAGGTCCTTTGAAAAAACTATATCAGGTTAGGAAACTGCTTCACAATGCTCAATTAATGGGAACTGTGATAGCTTCTTGGGAGTTTGGTTTTTTTGTTTTAACATATTCTCATGAATATGGTGTTGAGTCACATGAAGAAGAAGGAGTAAAGATTTCCAAGTAATTTTTATCTAATTTAAGTTCCATTTTGTAATTTCCCAAACTCGCAATTCATATATAGGACTAAATGTAATCAGGGAAATATATTCAATTTAAAAGTCAAAGTTTGATCATGAGAATATAAGTAAATGTTTTCAGTCATGTTTTAACATTTCACTGATGTTAAATTTCAGTATTAACAATTGATATTCTCTATTGTTACATCAAAATTCTCCAAAGATGAAAGCTTGTAGAATATAAATTTGTGTCCTGTTTTCTGTGCTAACAGTTTTTAAATGTATTTTGGTTCTAGAAAATAGCCAATTTTGTAGATGCTTAGAAATATAGCATATTGTATAACAAATGATCATGATTCTATAGTACCTAAGTAATAATTTTTAATAGTTTATTAAACCTTACTAATTCATACTTTTATTGCCCCCTTGAGCTACATGCGTTGAATTTGTCTGGTTTAATTTCAGTCTTAGCAACAACATTTTCTATTTTCCATTAACCAGCACTATATTAACCTTTCCATTAGTTCTTACTTATTGATTCTAGAATTGTTTCCTTTTACCATAAATCTGCCATAACTGATTACAGCATATAAACAAAGTGATGATGATTATAATAGTATACCTTATTACCTCCTGACCTAGCAAACCTCCTCGGTTGGTGATGTTGACAGTGATATGTTAGATTGGATAAAGCACACATGTCTTGATGGGTTACTGAAAATATTATAAGCTTTGCAGAATCTGTAAGATCCATGAGTAGAATAACCTCAAGTAAGTATTGTTAATAAAATATAATCCATGTATAGAATGCTATCTAGAGAAACTGAATGATTTTTAAATGTTCCCTTGGTCCACTAGATAGTAATATGAAAGAATAAGTTTGAAACTTGGTATTCTTAAAAACTCAAACAAGAATAAATCACTTAACAGTTTAATGTCTATGGAGATGTGTCAGTGCTCTCCAGTTAAATGTGACAAACTACACAAAATCTGCATCTTATCCCTCCCAATTTTAATTTTGCTTTTTGACTTGGAGCCTGAATGAGAGGAGAGAAACGAAAAGATTAAAGAGAAAGGAAGGTGAACATTTTTTTCTTCCCACGAATCCACTGTCCTACCCTCATTTTCTATTCTAAATCCCAGTCAGTTCTGAGTGTTGCCACTAGTGATCTGTCTGCTAACAGACCAATCAAAATGGCTCTAAAAATAACCAGTGTTTATTCATCAGGAAGTATCCTCAGCGGCATTGTTTATGATATTCTAGTTAGCTTCTCTGCCAATTTTAGATAATCTTTCTTTTAAAAAAAAATCTTTAATCTTTAAAAACAAATTGGGCAATTTTCAGTAAGAAGAGGCAGCTTAGGAGGGCACTGGAGAATGAGATAAAAAAGAGCTGGGCAGAGCGCAAAGCAGAAGAGAGAAGATTTATATATATATATATGTGTATATATATATATAGGTTGATGGAAAATTGCATAGTGCCTGATTTAAATGACAGACCTGCTAAGAATTTAAAATGACAATTCTTGGGGTAAAAAGTTTTATGAGGCCTTTTATTATTCTGGAAAATCAGTTCAGACTGCTATGTGTTTTTAAATCAACCTTATCTTGAGCTGAACTGATTAAAGGTTTCTATTTTTAGAACCTAAATAATAATAAGGTACTTAAAAACATGTTTCATTATGAAGCCTTTTAAGAGTACTATTGAAAACTGATTTATTAAACAAAGTGAAGAAAATACCGCCAAAACCTAAAAAAAAAATTCTTTGTATTTTCATTCTCAGTGCAATAGAGTATGTGCCAAATGATGAAGAGAATTCATACCTTTTCTATTGGATCACTTATTCAGTTTTACTCCAAGCAACAAATTTTAACTTTTTTATTTTAGATTTCTAGAATACATTACTTCTAGCCATAGAGGAAATACAGCTGTCCTTTTCCCTTTTCCCACTCTCCCCACAGCCCATGACTACCCAGAGTCTTTCAGACTTGTAGTCTTTCTCTGACCAATGATAATGCTATCATCTTAGACCATGGAGAGAGGAAAGTATTGAATTGTTCTATCCAGTACACATCCACTAGCCACATGTAGCTATTTAAATTAAGATTAATTAAAAGTAAATAAAATTTAAAGTTCAGTTCCTTGGTGTCTAGGCACATTTCTAGTGCATACCTGTGTAGGTAGGGACTGCCGTATTAAACAGAGCAGATTTAGAACATAGGCATCATCACAGAAAGTTCCATTGATCAGCACTGGATAGAAAGTCCACAGTTTCAGTAGGTATTGATTGCCAAAGAATTCTCCAGGATTTTTCTAAGGCTGCTGTGTTCCTCACAAATACAAAGAACACAGTGAATGAACACCAAGAGTTTCTGGAAATAGGACACTAAGTCAGGTCCTGCTGGCTAAGAGAGTGCAGTGCTGCTTTCCTAGGTAACAGAGTCCCAAAAGAGGATAGTTTTAAAACACTAGATTAACAGAAAGAGATAAGATAGTCTTCAGATTCTCTTTATTTAACCCCTTATTCATTCAGTAGATATTCATTGAGCACTAACTATATGCCTGATACTTTGGATAGACCCTGAAGACGAGATGGAAATGACCAGAGTAGAGTGAAAGAAAATGTGGGAGGGGTTCCTTTTCTAGAAACAATGGTCAGTGGAGTGATTCTCTGAGAAAGTAAAACTTGAAAAATACAGGTATCTAGCCATGACAGCAAAAAGCAAAACAAACAATAGGAAAACAAATTTCAAACAGAGGGAACAAGAGTACGCAGGCCCCCAAACAAGAAAAAGCATAATGTACTATGTACTCCAGGAACTGACAGGAGGCCAGTGTGACTGGAACAGAGTGAGTGAGAAGGAAGCAGTATAAGACAAGACGGAGACTGACACATCCTTGAACACCATAATTATTACAGGAGTTTCTATTTGGGAAACAAAACAGAATACACTATGCTTAAGTGAGGCAATGTATGTGAACACCACAATTGGTATTTTGCAGGAGTAGGTAGATTGTGACAGTGTTGTTTAACATTTGTATCATCAGCATGTTAAAAATGGAATAAAGGGAGTATATTCTTTAATTTGGAAAACAATGCTAAATTTAAGATGTGTGATTACCAGTGACAATAAAAGCATAATTTGACATTTATGAAATGATTCACAGTTTATGAGACCTTTTCTAACATATCATTAATGCATTTAATATTCACACAAACCTTTGGCAATAGGTAGGGCATGTATTGCCATGTCAATTCAACAGAAAAAATAAGCTGCATGACTTGTTCAAGATCACATAGCTAATACATTATGAAGCCAGAACCAGAGCTCACCTCTGAGTCTAGTACTCTTTACTGTATAAACTACACTTCTTTTGTTTCCACATTCTAACATATTGGAGGAGGAAATTAGATTTCCAAATGACCTTGGAAAGCGAGAAATATCTGGAAATTCAAAAGTTGACATTCACTAGGGTAAAATACAAGCCAGAATAATAAAGAAAAATATCATACTTAAATGTAGGATCTGCAGTTACTTATGAATGTGACATAAAATAATTTAGGATGAACATGCCATAGTTTTATGACAACAACAGAAAGCACATTGCCAGAGTTCAAAGAAGCAGTACAATCTGTGAATAACACAGTATATTCCCTGGAGTCAGACTTTGTGGGTGCTAGTCCTGGCTTTACTTCTTAGACATTTATGACATTAAGAAGTTCCTTCTGTGATTCAGTTTCTTCATCTATAAAATGAGGATATTAGTAATTGTGCCTCTGCCTGCAGTAGTTAAGACTTAATGAATGGAAACAACCTAAATGTCCATCGACAGATGACTGGATAAAGAAGCTGTGGTATATTTCTACGAAGGAATATGACTCAGCCATAAAAAAATAATAAAATAATGCCATTTGCAGCAACGTGGATGAACCTGGAGAATGTCATTCTAAGTGAAGTAAGCCAGAAAGAGAAAGAAAAATACCACATGATATCACTTATATGTAGAATCTAAAAAAAAAAAAGGCAAATGAGCTTATTTGCAAAACAGAAACACTCACAGTCCTAGAAAACAAACTTATGGTTACCAGGGGAGAAAGAGGGTGGGAAGGGGTAAATTGAGAGATTGAGATTCACAGATACTAACTACTATATATAAAAGAGAAACAACAAGTTTATACTCTATAGCATAGGGAACCATATTCAATATCTTGTAGTAACCTATGTTGAAAAAGAATATGAAAACAAATATATCTATGTTCCTATATGACTGAATTATTGTGCTGTACACCAGAAATTGGCACAATGTTGTAAACTGTACTTCAATTAAAAAAAAAAACAAGAGAAACAAACGAACAGAAAACCCAAAACCATATGTATGAAGCACAATAAACTTAGTGAAGTGCAATTTAAAAAGAAAGATTTAATGAGTACTTTAGAGCTACATACTCAGCTCTTGGTTTCTGCATCTATGAAATGGGGATATAGTAATGACACCTACTGCCTGCAGTAGTTAAGATTTGATGAGTCCTTTACAGTACTTGTAGCTCTGAATGCATGGCTCACAGCTAAAGTGTGTGAGCTTTCTTATTCTTCTCCTTCGCTTTTCCTCTTTTTCTTCCCTTACTAGATACCATAATTGAATTCTCAGTACTCAAAACTCTTGAGGCACTTTTTAGAGATTTTAAGGCAACTCAGGATTTGACAGTTTGGGAAAGTATTAAAAATGACAGTCATTAGAGGAAATAAATTAGTATTTATTAAGTACTTACCATATGCTAACTAAGTATTTGCATTAAGCCGTTTCACTCACTTCATCTTCTTTCATCCTCACAAAAACTATTTTTAACTTTTTATTTTGAAACAATTTTAGATTTAGAAAATTTGCAAAAATAGTACAGAGAATTTCCAGATACCCTTCACTCAGCTTCCCCTAATGTTAACATCTTACATAAACAAAGATGTAGTTATCAAAACCAGGAAATTAGTATTTGTACAGTGTCAGTAATTGAACTATAGAATTTGTTCTGATTTTGCCAGTTTTTCCTCTGATTTCCTTTTCCTATCTGACAATTTCTCACTCTTTCCTTCTAGTTCATGATCTTGATAGTTTTGAAGATAATACTTATCAGTCATTTTGTAGACTGTCCCTTATTTGGAGTTTGCCTGATACTTTCTCATAATGGAATTACTGTTATGCATTTTGGGCAGAAACACCACAGAAGTGATGTGCCCTTCTCAGTGTATCCTACCAGGGATGTACAAGATACCCCAGTGTCTTATTATTGGTAATACTAACTTTGATCCTTGAGTTAAGGTGGTATTTATCCTCTGTAAAGTTATTATTTTCCCTTCATAGTTAATAACTATCTTGGGGGTGATATTTTAAGGATATGCAAATATCCTATTTTACATCACTAAGTTTGATCTCTGGGGTGAAGGGATATCTGTCAACTTTCTCCACTGTAGCATTACTGTTTTTCCTTTTGTAATGAGTAAATGTCTTAGGGGGAGATTCTTTGAGACTATGCGAATATCCTGATTCTCTCCAGACTTTAGCCCACTAATTTTAGCATACTTCACTCCCAACATCTTTTAACATGAATATTATTGTCTTAGTGTTGTAGATGAGGAAATGGAGCCTCAGAGAGGTTTATTTATCAGTTTGAGGTCACACCAATAGTAAATGCAGCTGTGTCATACTCTGAAGTCCCTTATAATTTCATCATTCTGTTAAGATATGTTAACCCCAGTATATGGGAGAAGAATCTTCCAGAGGAAGGAGGAGGAGAGGCTCCTAAACTCAGAATACATATTGTTGGGAAGACAAAATTGAAGTTTTAAGAAAAGTTTTAAAACTAGATGGGGATCAGCTGTTGAGGGCAAAGCACTGTCTCCTCAAGACACAGTGAGAAAGTTAGACTTGGTGCTCGCTGAGTGATCCAAGAGGAAAAAGGAGGTTTTGTATGAACTGTGGACACGGATACAAATAGAATAAAGCTTGACCTTTCTGTAAAGATTTATGTTTTATACTTGAGAAGTTTATTTCGATCTTGAATTGCCATTTTTATAAAATTTAATTTGAGACATTAAAAAAAAAGATTTCTTTGATTAGGTTATCAAAACTCCCACCAAAAGATGTATCTTCCCACAGTGTTGGTATTAAACAACCAAATCTCATTCTTCATTTAGTTCTTATACCACCTTAAGGAAGATCTCTCTTTTACATAGTGGAATTTTTTTTTTTTTTTTGGTGTGGTTGTTGTTAGAGGATATGATAAGGTTTATTTATTTATTTATAATTTTTAGAGGAGGTACTGGGGGTTGAACCCCAGACCTTGTGCATGCTAAGCATGCAGTCTACCACTTGAGGACCTCTATTTTAAAAACATTCAGTACATGAATGAGATTTTACTACCAAGATAATAAAGTAAATCTTTCTGGAATTTGTCTCTTTATCTTTACTAAAAATGAACTGTACTCAATCATAAGCAAAAATCCTACAGTAGTAAAATACGTGTGGTAAAGAGATTGGGAGAATATATGTGAGTAATTTAACTAAATTATGCATTTATTTAAGAGAGTGAAGACATCATTTTTATAAGACATTGCCATTTTGGGGTGGGGTGGCCTTTCAGCTATTACGAGTCATTTCTAACAGTCTTTCCCCCCCAAACTGAGGGGATTTCTTTTCTCATCTTATCAGAGTTCAGGCTTAGTTCTGTTCTAAAATAAGCAACCAAAAGTGGAATAGTCAGCGTGTCTGAAAAGTCAGCAGCATTGTCCTACCACAAGTGGCTATTCTTTTCAGAAACAGCAGTCCTCTGAAATCATGATGTTAGGTGTAGATGTTTAACTTCATATATCATCTGGAATTTGTTAAGTATTTCGTGAACAAACAACATGCAAATATTACTCTAAAGATTGTCATACCTTTAAAAATGTCATAGTTTCTAATGTCTTGTATAACTTGGCTGCCTTGCCTACCTAAATTTTTCTGTCCTTCATATTCTAATTAATTTCCTTTATGACACTCAGATGTATTTCTCTCTCCATAACTTTTTGAAACTTAGCACAGTGACAGAGTAAACTGCAAACAAGCCCCAAATCATGGACAATTTTAGAGGCCCACTGAATTCAGACATGGGTTTTTACATTATCTAAAATTGTTTAAAACATAATTCTAAAAATTTAACCCATAGCTCAAGAGTTAGATTTCAAGACAGAACATTAATGACATAAAACTTCACAGCCTTTGTGATAAGAAAAATAGTATGAGGGTTTCTAGAATTAATTTGTGATTTTTTTAATCTTGATCTTTTAAAAAAAATTGTAGGAAACGACATCTCTTTCTCTTGTTTCAGTTCTTTGAAAAATTTGTTATTATAGTAACTGCATTATTTCCAGAATCAGCATAATTATGCTCTATAAACCTCTGAAAGAATTCCGTATTACTCTTTTTTACAAATCTCTCTTAAATTGGAAATTTGAAAACTTACTGGATTTTTGTTGATGTTAAAAAATTATTGTTAATTTTTAACAGTATGATAATAGTTATATGGTTATGTGTGAGTCATCATGTTTCAAAATTATGTACTAAAATCATTTACATATGACATGTATATGAGATTTGCTTCAGAATAATATGAAGGCAGGTAGATGAAGGTATGTAGATGGAGTAACATTCATCATAAATTTAAAATTTTTGCAGCTTGATGGTAGGTAGGTTCCTTGGAGATTATTGTACTGTTCTATTTACTTTTGCATATGGTTCAGATTTTTAAATAATAACTCTTACTAGATGTTTAGGTCTCTTATTTTGAATGTGAGAAGCCGAATTCTTAATCCATTAATAACATTTTAGTTTATTGTACTGCTTATGAGAATGTTTTTCCTCCTTTCTAATTAATAGACTGAAGACATTAAAGAAATAGCGAAAAAGACACAAGCTCTGCCAAAAGTGAACTCGAAGAGGCAGCGAATCGTGATTTTCACCCAAGGGAGAGATGACACTGTACTGGCTACAGGTACACATGGCAACTGTGGGAGATGCCCAGTATTATGGAGATTAATCATTAAAAAATTCTATATTCTTCTATTATAATTTATTTAAAACAACATACTTTTTTTTCCTTTTTTTTTTAACTACCTTCACTCATTCAACTCACTCCCAGTCCTGCCTCTGGCAACCACCAGTCTG